ATGAATTATTTATTAATTTGGTTTAACAAGTCAAATAAAAACAAATCGTGAATCTCTATATAACCTTTACAATGTCATGGAGAATCATCCAATTCTGCAGTAAAGATGTCATCATAACAAATAAGTTAATATCTCGAGCGTTCAATATTTTGCCTCAAATTGACCAATAGTACTCAGAATAAAACTATGTAATTTTAGTCCATGAAAGAAGTCATAATAAGAAGAAAATGAAAATTCTGTTAAATAATGTGTTGCAGTTTGATCTTGTACTATAAACACTACTTCCCGCGTTCTGAATAATTAATCGTTCCTTATAATATTATCGTTATATCCTCCTGTGGTGATTGGTAACATAACTAGGCAGAATACTATTACTGAAATCCTTGCATCTACCAACGTACTTTCCTTTTCATTCAGCGTGGTTACAGATCCTGGACGATGCTTTAACTTACTCCAAGTCCACTAGTGTCGCAGCAGATGGTATTGGACTCAGATTCCTCTTACCCAATTAACCCCAACAATAAAATTTCCGTCAACCCATTTTTATTCTATCTACATTGTCAAAAGCTATTGAACGTTTAGCTTATTTACAGATTCAGAAATATCTTGAGGAGTTTAATCTGATTAACAAGTTTCAGTCTGGTTTTCGTGAGGGGCATGGTACTGATTAAGATCACCGATGATATTAAATCTACCTGTGAGAAGCGTTGTGTTACCTTGCAAGTGTTACTTGATTTTAGTAAACGATTATATTTGTGGACCATGCCCTCCTGTTAACTAGGCTTTCTGCTATTGGTTTTACCTCTTCTTGTGTATCTTGGTTCCAGTCCTACCTTTCCTATCGGGCTTTACGTGTCCGCGTGGAATCTCTCTTCTCCTGTTGACATCAAATGTGGAGTTCCCCAGGGCAGTGAGCTGGGTCCTTTGCTCTTCTCAATTTTTATAAATAGTATTAGTTATGTAATGGTATCTCGTATAACTATCATTTGTATGCAGATGACCTTCAACTTTATATTTCGTCAACTGTTAACAACCTCCCAGATGCTTTGTTGCATTTTAACAATAATCTCTCTAGCGTGCTTGCCTGGTCTAGACGTCATGGACTTAACCTCAATCCAGGTAAAACGTAAACCATTGCATTTGGCACTCACCCCTTGCTGGCACAATTTAATTCCTTAACTACCCTTCAACTGAGGCTTGCCGACACTGTTATTCCGTTTTCTAATACGGTCAAAAATCTTGGTGTGGTAATGGATTCGGCGATGTCTTGGCGGCCACAAGTCCAGGGAGTCTGTAAGAGGGTTTACTTCTTTTTCCATACTTTGAAGAAACTTCGCTGCTACCTTCCTCCTGTTGTACGTCGTAGTCTTTGTTATTCTCTCATTTTCCCACACATTCTTCAGCACTTCAGAATAATTGTATATGGTACATTTTTGATTTAGGAAAGTTTCGGCATATTACTCCATATCGTAACAACCTGCAGATGATGACTTGCCAGAGTCGTAGTTCATTTCGTATGCTTACTATGTTGTACAAAATTGTCAATACCCGCACTCCTACTTATTTGTCTGATGCTTTTCACGTTTTAACATTACATGACTTGCCCACTCGATCAATGTTGGTCTCTACACTCATGTTTCCAGTCCATAGTACTGAAACCTACCACAGATCTCTTACAGTACAGGCGATTGTGTTGTGGGACGATTTAGCTGTCGTTGTTCGCAATGCAGCTAGTTTTATAACTTTTAAAAATGCCTTGAGGCGCCATCTGCTATCTCTTCAACTATCTTCTTGTTGGCCTATACGTGCTTGTTTTCTTCTCTAGTCTGCCTTTCATCTATTCCTTTCAAATATGATCATTCGCTCAGTTTTATTAGCACATCATTTAGTATTCCTTTTTTGGTAGCCATAATTTATTTATTTAAAATTCTTAATTTAAAAGTCTTAATGTCTATATTTGTTATGAATGTATATATATATGTAAATATTTGTTTTTGAGGCAATAAACATTGTTATTATTATTTATATTACCAGCAATGAAGAGTAATTACAAAAAAAGACACACACAATTAAAAGACTTACACAGAAAGAAAAAAAGACACATAGAAATTAAAAATAAAAGTGACCTAACGCGATCTTTCAATATCGTCTCGGATGTCGCTCACTACCATCTTTGTAACTCCTCAATATCATCTCAAAATATTGTTCTGAACAACTTTCAATATCATCGCATTTACAACACATGTTAATTCCCTCAAATCCCAAAATATTAGCTTTGATATCCTGCAACATTGTCCCAGACACCCCAGTCATTATGCCACAAATCATTATGCCGGAAAACCATCAACAAAATCCCTCTGTAGATCATATCAAATGTCCGTTGATATCCAATGGGACATCCTGCAATATTGTCCTGAACATTTCTCAACATTGTTTAGGACAACTCTCAATGTTATCTCATTTACTGCCGATGTTGTCTCAAATCTACCTCATTATTGGTTCTGTCAACGTACAACATCGTCCCGGAGATTACGCCATATCATCTTTAACACACCTCAACACAGTCCTAGTTATCCTTCAACATCATACCGGCCAGTCGTTATTATTATTCCTATTTGCATTGCTCCAAAAATTTGTCAATATTATCTCCGGCAATATTCAATATGGCCCGCATATTCTACTACATATATCATTTTTAGCACAACGCAACATCGTCCTGCAAGCTTACTAACAGTTAATATCGATTTGGGCACAACATTCCTGCATCGATATCTTCTAATATGGAAATTTTGAAATTGTTGACAATGATCATTGCAACAGGATGACTCTATAAACCAAACCACTATAAATCCCATCAACACATTCTCGAAGCTAATATGATACAAAATGGATTCACCCATATTCCAAAAATTCAGAAACTCCTTCAAGATTCTTTCAGTAGTAATTGAATTGAATATGTTTATTAACCCAAATAATGTTATAGTGCCGTTATTTAAGCTGTAATATAGTACATAATTTGTTGTTCTTTGCATTATTAATTACAACACCTCGGCTACAAGCAACCTTGGCCAAAATTAGGACGAGATTAATTAATGCCACACTAAATTGGATTTCGTTGAAGAATCTGTGATTTTATCTGATTATGCCAAGGTTGCTTATCATCTATCTTTAACATCGTATCAATCCAAAACACGACTTAGTGCCTCAACCTCAAGCAAGTTTCGCTAAATCACTGTAAGATGTATTCATCAGCTTGTGCATTAACTGCTACACCTTGCTACACCGCAAATGATCTCGGTTAAATTATTCAGAAAAAAAGTTTGATTTGATCTGCTTAAGCTGAGGTTGCTTCCTGCCGTGGCTTTACAATTGAGTGTTGAGAAAATACTTAGGTGATAATAGCAGCATAACAGAGCAATACTCCAGTTTGCTTCTAACTAATGATTGAAATGGTAACTTAATTGTAGTAATATCAGAGTGCTTCGGCAAAGACAAAGTTGACGTGATAAATTTTCTGAGATGCTTCCAAATTAATGGACTGAAACATTCTTTACATCATTTAAAACTGTTACTCACTATCATTATTGATTTTCATAAAATATAGAGCAAAATTGGCTGAAATTTTCTAGTTTTTAACATTGCTAGGAAAAGTTATTTGGTTAAAGCTCAAAATGTTTCAAAATTGATGGTCATGCAACGTGATGCAGCAAAAATCTCAATAACATTTTACCATTTATAAAAATAATCCTATTTCTCAAAACCAATGAGATGATGAAACCTCTTCTTCTTCATCATTTACTGCAGCAACATTTCTGGAAATTCTGGATGAAAATATAGTTGAAGAATTTTAAGCGATTTTATGCATCCAGTCAATTTCGACAATTTCTTCAAGTCTTCTAATCTTCTTCAAGTCTCAATGTCGTCTAACACAAAAATTACAATTATCTACATATTTATTTAACCCTGCCATAATCGAATAATTAATAATTTTTCTCTTAATAATCTTACTTTAATTTATCTTCGGCAAAAGTTAAAAAATAAATACATAATCATGATTCATCATTTCCATCTTAGTAAATTGATCATCAAACATAACTTAACGCATTATGTTCGTTTTAACTTCAACGTCGAAAGTTTCCCTTCCCCTCTATTCAATGAATTGAATCATCACCACGTAGTAAGGTGAGTCGTTGAAAATGATGTCTTCACTGTCTTGAAAATGATCGATCAGGCGCGGAGACTCGAGTACAATACCTTTTTCAAGTGGATTAAAGTCGGTCGTCGTCGCCTTTGAGAGCCAGTTCCGCGGACTCATAAGTCCTCTTGGGGCAACCGCGCACGAACGGTGATTCTCTTTGAATGGGACCTTGCCCCCATATGTTCCTAAAGCACTTTTCAAAGTCATCGAAACCGCTTCATTTTATTTCCACTTGAGAGAGTCAGTAAAATTACACATAAAATTATAAAAACATTTAAAGTAGAAATCTAAGATCTCTTTCTCACGGAAGTAATGCATTCTAAAAAAAAAAGAATACTTTGTGATTTTATAAGAAAAAAAGGGGTGTTATATAATATATATAATAACGGGGTATGTTTTATTCTTGAATTGGAACAACAGTAAAAAAAGAGGAAATAAAAAGAATGTTAGAGAAGACAGAGAAAGAATTGTCGCCGCGGGTAGCGGAAAAATAAATATTTGAACTCGGACGCGGTGCGTTACACAAAGGTGGCGTTGAAAGGTCTTATAGGATATACATTGTGTCGGGTGGCTATGGGGGGTCCACAGGGATCAAGGACTTCCCGCTGTGCCCCCCTTTTCACGGGATCCACGAGCGAACTAGACCGGTGTGGTAACGGTTACTCAAACTCGCCTATTGTAACGAACAAACCACCACCTTAAAGGTCTTTTTACAATAGATTTACATTTTTTTTCTTGTTGCGGTTTTGAGAACTTATTCGGTTTTAGAATGCGAGTTTAAATTTGTTTTTCTTTCTTTCAGGTTATTTGGTATGAAACGTTGCGGAAGATGTCAAGCGACGATTCTATCGTCAGAATTAGTGATGAGAGCCCGTGAATCGGTGTTTCACGTGCACTGTTTTAGCTGTGTCGTTTGTAACGCGCCCCTTACGAAAGGGGATCATTTTGGCATGCGCGACGGCGCCGTCTTGTGCCGCCTCCATTTCGAGATGTCGCTCGCTTCGGAACCGCACCCCGCCGCCGTCGCCGCCGCCGCCATTTACGGCGGAGGGACGCCGAATTCCGTTTACCCTCAAGGACCATTCGGCAGTCCGGATTTCCACCCTCATCATCACCATCATCACCATCATCATCATCCCCCGCTTCCACCACCGACGCCCGTTGATGCTACCACCGTTGCTAAGGTTCCATTTCCCTCGCCGTATAATGGTGCCACCCCTACGCCTAGACAGAAAGGGAGACCAAGAAAAAGAAAACCTAAGGATCTTGAAGCTATGACAGCTAGTTTAGGTAAGTAAAAAATGAACCAAAAGAAAAACTAAATTAGATCGACATCGAACTATATTTATCACCAAAATAGATTTTTTAAACAATTTTGGTTGGTTATTTGATAGTGACACATATGAATCATAAAGACCTTTGCTGCGATTGAATAAAGTTGTTCTAGATTGTCTTTAGACAATCATATCTTGTGTGCTATAAGTCTTGAAGAATTGAGATTGACCAAAAATATTCTATAATGATTGATCTTTAATTTAAGGCATAGTTGATTGCTTCATCTTCATTAAGAACAAAGTTATTAATATAATATTAAAATTGGTTGAATTTGACATGGTGTTTTAACAAAGTTGGATTGTCGTTAAAAAATCATGTTCCACAAATCTTGAAGAAATGAAATTTACCACATATATTCTATAAAGATTGATCTTTAATTTAAGCCCGAGTTGATTGCTTCATCTTCATTAACAAAGAAGTTATCAATGTTATTAGAATTGGTTTAATTTGACATTGCGCTTTAACACAAGTTATCTTGAGAAAATCATACCTCCTATTCTGCAAGTCCTAAAGATATGAACTTTAGGACAAATCTTGAAGAAATGAAATTCACCATAAATATTCTATAAATATTGATCTTTAATTTAAGCCCAAGTTGATCGCTTTATTTTCATTAACAAAGGAGTTATCATTTTTATTAAAATTGGTTGAATTGGACATTACGTTTTAACAAAGTTGGGTTGGGTTATCTTTAGGAAACTATATCTTGTGCTCTACAAACGTTAAAGAAATGAAATTCACCATAAATATTCTATAATCATTGCTCTATAATTTATGCCATAGTTGATCGTTTCATCTTCATTAAGAATAATGTTATTAAATGTATTAAAATCAGTTGAATTTGATATTGTGATTTAAGAAAGTTAAGTTGGGTTGTTTTTAGAAAATCATATCTGAAATGCTACAAATCTTGAAGAAATGAAATTCACCATAAATATTCTATAAAGATTGATCTTTAATTTAAACCCAAGTTGATCCCTTTATCTTCATTAGCAAAAAAGTTATCACTTTTATTAAAATTAGTTGAATTTGACACTACGTTTATCTTTAGAAAACTATTCCTTCTGCTCTACAAATGTTGAAGAAATAAAATTCATCATAAATATTCTATAATCATTGCTTTTTAATTTATGCTATAGTTGATCGCTTCATCTTCATTAAGAACAATGTTATTAAATGTATTAAAATCAGTTGAATTTGATATTGTGATTTACCAAGGTTGGGTTGGGTTGTTTTTAGAAAATCATAAGTCCTGTTCTGTAAGTCGTAAAGAAATTAAATTCACCATAAATAATCTATAAAAAATGATCTCTAATTTACACCTAACTTGGTCGTTTCATCTTCATTAACACAATAGTTATCAATTTTATTAAAATTTGTTGAATTAAAGTTGGGTTGGGTTGCTTTTAGAAAATTATATCTGAAATGCTACAAATCTTGAAGAAATGAAATTCACCATAAATATTCTATAAAGATTGATCTTTAATTTAAGCCCAAGTTGATCGCTTTATCTTCATTAACAAAAGAGTTATCATTTTTATTAAAATTGGTTGAATTTAACATTACGTTTTAACAAAGTTTGGTCGTCTCTAGAAAACGGTATGGTTTTCTGCTCTACAAATGTTGAAGAAATGAAATTCACCATAAATATTCTATAATCATTGCTCTTTAATTTATGCCATAGTTGATCGTTTCATCTTCATTAAGAACAATGTTATTAAATGTATTAAAATCAGTTGAATTTGATATTGTGATTTAAGAAAGTTAAGTTGGGTTGTTTTTAGAAAATCATATCTGAAATGCTACAAATCTTGAAGAAATGAAATTCACCATAAATATTCTATAAAGATTGATCTTTAATTTAAACCCAAGTTGATCCCTTTATCTTCATTAGCAAAAAAGTTATCACTTTTATTAAAATTAGTTGAATTTGACACTACGTTTATCTTTAGAAAACTATTCCTTCTGCTCTACAAATGTTGAAGAAATAAAATTCATCATAAATATTCTATAATCATTGCTTTTTAATTTATGCTATAGTTGATCGCTTCATCTTCATTAAGAACAATGTTATTAAATGTATTAAAATCAGTTGAATTTGATATTGTGATTTACCAAGGTTGGGTTGGGTTGTTTTTAGAAAATCATATCTGAAATGCTACAAATCTTGAAGAAATGAAATTCACCATAAATATTCTATAAAGATTGATCTTTAATTTAAGCCCAAGTTGATCGCTTTATCTTCGTTAACAAAAGAGTTATCATTTTTATTAAAATTGGTTGAATTTAACATTACGTTTTAACAAAGTTTGGTTGTCTCTAGAAAACGGTATGGTTTTCTGCTCTACAAATGTTGAAGAAATGAAATTCACCATAAATATTCTATAAAGATTGGTGTTTAATTTATGCCATAGTTGATCGTTTCGTCTTCATTAAGAACAATATTATTAAATGTATTAAAATGAGTTGAATTTCACATTGTGTTTTAACAAAGTTGGGTTCGATTGACTTTAGAAAATCATACCTGCTTGTCTGCAAGTCGTAATGAAATATACCATAAATAATCTATAAAAAATGATCTTTAATTTACACCTAACTTGATCGTTTCATCTTCATTAACAAAATAGTTATCAATTTTATTAAAATTTGTAGAATTAAAGTTGGGTATAATTTTCTAAAAGCAACCTACTTTTAGAAAATTATATCTGAAATGCTACAAACCTTGAAGAAATGAAATTCGCCATAAATATTCTATAATCATTGCTCTTTAATTTATTTCATCTTCATTAAGAACAATGTTATTAAATGTATTAAAATCAGTTGAATTTGATATTGTGTTTTAGCAAAGTTGCATTCGATTGTCTTTAGAAACCTCCTGTTCTACAAGTCGCAAAGAAATTAAATTCACCATAAATATTCCATAAAGATTGATTTTTAATTTAAACCTAAGTTAATCGTTTCATCTTCATTAATAAAATAGTTATTAATTTTATAATGGGTTGAATTTGACATTGCGTTTTATTAAAGTTACGTTGGGTTGCTTTTAGAAAATCATATCTCTAATGCTACAAATCTTAAAGAAATTAAATTCACCATAAATATTCTATAAAGGTTGAGCTTTAATTTAATCTGAAGTTGATCGCTTCATCTTCATTAACAAAAAAGTTATCAATTTTATTAAAATCGGTTGAATTTGACATTAGGTACGTTTTAAGAGAGTTCGGTTAGGTTTCTTTAGAAAACCATACCTTCTGCTCTACAATTTTTGAAGAAATGAAATTTACCATAAATATTCTATAAAGATTGATCTTTAATTTAAGCACAACTTGATCGCTTCATCTTCATTAACAAAAAAGTTATCAATTTTATTAAAATCGGTTGAATTTGAAATTAGGTACGTTTTAAGAAAGTTCGGTTGGGTTTCTTTAGAAAACCATACCTTCTGCTCTACAATTTTTGAAGAAATGAAATTTACCATAAATATTCTATAAAGATTGATCTTTAATTTAAACCTAAGTTGATCGTTTCATCTTCATTCCCAAAAATGTTATCAATTTTATTAAAATCGGTTGCATTTGATATTATGTTTTAACAAAGTTGGGTTGGGTTGTCTTTCGAAATTTATACCTTCTGCTCTACAATTTTTGAAGAAATGAAATTCACCATAAATATTCTATAAAGCTTGATCTTTAATTTAAGTCCAAGTTGATTGCTGTATCTTCATTACGAACAAAGTTATCAACTTTACTAAAATGGGATGATATTGACAAAGTTCAGTTTTCAGTTTTAACAAAGTTTGGTTGGGTTATCTTTAGAAAACCATATCTTCCGCTATACAATTTTTGAAGAAATGAAATTCACCATAAATATTCTATAAAGATTGATCTATAATTTAAACCCAAGTTGATCGTTTCATCTTGATTCACAAAAATGTTATCAATTTTATTAAAATCGGTTGAATTTGACATTACGTTTTAACAAAGTTGGGTTGGGTTGTCTTTCGAAAACTATAACTTTTGCTCTACAAATGTTGAAGAAATAAAATTCACCATAAATATTCTATAAAGATTGATCTTTAATTTAAGCCCAAGTTGATTGCTATATTTTCAATTTTAACAAATTCATCTTTTTTGTGTAGTTCATTCGTTTAACTGCACTACCATGCTGAAGAACCGGATTTGTTGCAAGAATTACGTCAGGAAGTAGTTCATCCCATGGGTTATTTTTTTTTTTCATAGAATTGTGCCATAATTGCCTTTATCACTCTATCAATAAAGAACTTTTGATTCAGCTAGATTTTAAAGAGTACTAGAATCTCTTTAGGGATGGTTTCTTCTGTACCGTTTTGTTCAAATCACTAATTAAGATCTTAAACGTAGTCTTGTAGAAAACTTAATTGATGTGATAACCGTAAACCAAAGAGTGCTCTAGGTCTTCTAACGAGAATCTTAAAGCAACTCATGCAACTATATGTCATAAATAAATAGTTTCAGGTAAAATTTTTCAAAAGAAATGTTGTAAAATAAGACCACAGCCATTCATCTCTATCAAGTCTTCATCAAGATATCCGTTAAGCTGGAAAATCTGGGCAACTAGCTCTATGTATTTTGATAGATAGAACATTCAAGTCCAACGAAATGTTGTGCCTTTCTGGATATACAGGGTGGGTTTAACAAACTTAATATCACGATTCCTTGGTACCAGAAAAAAACCTGCATTTAACAAAGGAATAGAATTAACTATTTGGATTTATTAACTATATGCAGGTTATTTCCAGCATGCTTCATGGTGAAGCACTTTTTCCTTTGTTTTGGTGATTTTTGATTAACAACTTAGCTGCGCTTATTCTTGCGGTTGAGTAATTTAATTTGTGACGGAATATTTTTTTTTTATTTTAGATGAGAAAGTAAATGACTAAATCAAGATGTTTGCCTCTGCCTTTGGTCGTCATTCTT